TAGGAGAAAATCAAGCAAGAACAATTCAAAGACAGTACAGATTTTTAAAAAAGAGAGATAGACTGAAATTTGCTGTGCCTTATCACAACCAGCTAACAAACTCAGGTCAAAAACCAAAGTTGTGGCTAGGTGCGGTGGCTCACGCCTGTAATCCTAAGCACTCTGGGAGGCTGAGGCGGGTGGATCACTGGAGCTCTGGAGTTCGAGACCAGCCTGAGCAAGAGCGAGACCTCGTCTCTACTAAAAATAGAAAAAAATTGGCTGGATAACTAAAAATATATAGAAAAAATTAGCCAGGCATGGTGGCGCATGCCTGTAGTCCCAGCTACTTGGAAGGCTGAGGCAGAAGGATTGCTTGAGCCCAGCAGTATGAGGTTGCTGTGAGCTGGGCTGACACCACGGCATTCTAGCCCGGGCAACAGAGCAAGACTCTGTCTCAAAACAAAAACAAAACAAAACACAAAACCAAAGTTCTATTTTACTATAAACATGATATAATTGTCATGAAGACAGGAATTCATATATACATTTGAAATGAAAGATGAGGACATACTTTTTACTGATAAAAGACTGGTTTGACTACGTGAATTGCCTTTGTCAAATAAATTATACGTAAGTAAGACCTTTTCCACAGATTAAATGAACCAAATATGCAGTTTCAATGTTTTAAAAAGAATACACAAAATATAAACTATTTTACAAAAAATTATTGTTCCTGGCCTACAGAAGACATAAATAAATAAATAAATAAATAAATAAATAAATAAATAAATAAATAAATAAATGTATGTATTGTTTTGGCAAAAGCATACTGAAAATTAACAAGATTTCAGTTTTTCCAATGCTTTGAGAGTATCTGATTAAAAAACAACAACAAAAAAGGAATCTAAAAGTAACAAGTATAATTCTCTAGCTACTCAAATCTTGAAGTTTTTTTTTTTTTTCGTATATTTCTCCATAACTCAGAAAGCCAGTAATTCTAGTGACTGGATTACAAATTATTTTTAATTTTTAAATGTATGGTTACTATGTCACTTTTGGCATTTAATTCCAAAGGACAGAACTGAATAATACTATAGGAAAATCCCTTCCATATTTATCTACTTATTATGTGACTAAGACTTCTAGGCATTTATATCTAAAAAAGGTTTAAAAAGAAAATGCCTCCATAAATAGGTACAATCATTAGGTTTCACTCAAGCAATAAATAAATATATTCATGAACACATGAACTAAATGAATAAAAGGGAAAACAGCCCCATACATTTTAAAAGAAACATTTCCAATATTAGTTTGCACAATAGGCTTCATAACTATAAATATTTATAACGTACTTTTTAGATTGTTTAATAATTATAACTCAAATCCAGCTTTTAAAAATGTAGAAACGTTTAGTAACAAAAATCTTAGTGTTAAATTTCAGTGAATGTGTATCTCTTTATTAAAGTATAACAGGATAATAAAAAGATTTTCAATTACATAAAAATATATCATATTAAGTTAAAATTCAATGGGAAAATGGAACAGAAATATGAATTTAAGAGGGAAAAGGCACAATATAAAATTTCCAACTATTAAAGAAGGGATGGTTCATGTATTTTTAAAATTAGATGATACTGAATAGCAAATTAGAATGCTCTTCAGAGATCACTGGACACATCTAAGTGTCCTGTAGGTTTTATTTTAAAACATCAATATTTATATTCTTAAAAAAAAACCTATATACTTTCTCAAAATATTATGGGAAATCTGCAAGCAAATATATATATGTATATGTATATACATATATAATACATACACATATGTATATTATACATGTTTATATATATATATATATATATAAGACCAATGTACGAATTTAGTGATAGAAAACATCGTTTATTTTGCCCTATGAAGTTCAAATTTTTTCTATCTAAAGAACACCTAAAATGTAGCACTTTAGGGAATAAGGTTAGAAACACCTGTAGCATGAGAAGCCTTACAGATTTTCAGTGTGAATAACTTCATAAAAACTTTACAGTTTTGAGAGAAAAATACCAAATTCAATAAATTCCTTAAATCATGACAAGAGAGTTGCTGTAAAGAAAAAAAAACTCCAGAAAGACAGGGGAGAAAAGTAAATTTAAAAGTCCCTAAAATTGGCCAGGCGTGGTGGCTCACGCCTGTAATCCTAGCACTCTGAGAGGCTGAGGCGGGCGGATTGCTCAAGGTCAGGAGTTTGAAACCAGCCTGAGCAAGAGCAAAACCCTGTCTCTACTATAAATAGAAATTAATTGGCCAACTAATATATATAGAAAAAATCAGCTGGGCATGGTGGCGCATGCCTGTAGTCCCAGCTACTCGGGAGGCTGAGGCAATAGGATCATTTGAGTCCAGGAGTTTGAGGTTGCTGTGAGCTAGACTGACACCACGACACTCACTCTAGCCTGGGCAACAAAGCGAGATTCTGTTTCAAAAAAAAAAAAGTCCCTAAAATTCTATTAAATTGTGAAATATGTGAAGAGGGTGCTATGTTCAGATTAGCACAAATTCAAGTTTGATGACATATTCTACACGGTTATGTATGGGGAAATAGGAACTCTCATACAATGCTAGTGGAAACGGAGCAGGGAATTTAGGAATATCTAGCAAAATTACATGCAAATTTACCCTGTGAAATAGCAAGTGCAATTCTAGGAATCTATCCCACAAACAAGCTGCAGAGAAGTGAAAAAAATACATGCACGAGGCTATTATTAAGGCACTATGTGTAACAGCAAAAGATTGGGAAAAATCTCTTTTCATCAACAGGGGACTAACTAAACATCTATAGTAAGTCCATCAAATGTAGTATTATGTAACAATAATAGGGATGATAAAGATATCGGAATACTTGCTGTAGAGTGATCTACAGAATATACTGTTAAGTAAAAAAAATCAAGGTGCCAAACAATGTGGACAGTTTCTCCAAGAAGGGTGGTATATGCCTGTATTTTTAAAAAAGAAAAAGTAATGGAAGGCTAAGCCACATAATTTTTAAAACAGATTGCCTTAAGGGGAAAAGGAAGGAAAAGGGAATCAGGACACAAACCAGACTTTTCTGAATATAACTTCTTTGTAGATGTGACATTGTAACCATGTAAAAATGTTTTTACATAATTATAAAATAAATGAAAATGAAAACAAAAGGCAATTTCTCGAAATAAAAAACAAAGTTAAAACAATAAATAAACCTAACTTTCTATCCAGTTAGTAGAATACCAACCAGGAATAAATAATTTCAAGTGACTTCAAAACAGTAATTTATGGGTGGCCAAGGTAGGAGGATCACTTGAGGCCAGGAGTTTGAGACCAGCCTAAACAACATAGCAAGATCCCATCTCTACAAAAAAATAAGAAAAATCAGCCAGGCATAGTGGTGTGTGCCTATAGTCCTAGCTACCTGGGAGGCTGAGGCAGGAGCATGGCTTGAGCCCAGGAGTTAAAGGCTGCAGTGAACTATGATCATGCCACTGTATTCCAGCCTGAGCAACAGAGTGAGACTCTGTCTCTTAAAATAAAATAAAAAGAACTGCTATAAATAATATTCTAAAGACCAAATAGAAAAATGGGCAAAGAATATTAACTGACAATTATCAAAAAATAAATAGAAATGGACTATACATATAAATAGGTGTTCAATCTCACTCATAAAAGAACTACAAATTACGACCACATTGAGATACTATTTTTCAATAGCAAAGATCAAAAGGTTAATAACACTAACAAAAGTGAGGGAAAACAAATACTTTTAGACACTACTGGTAAAATGTGTTAATCAGGTATACCAAAATGAGAAATGTACCTGTCCTGATACAGCAGCTCTCCTTCTAGGAACTCACGCTACAGATGTATAGCATGTGTAGCAGGCTAATCTATACATTGCATTAGGAAAAAAATTAAAATTGGCAACACTGTAAATATCTGTCAATATGGTGGTATTGATTAACAGTACTTCATACAATGGAATACTATGCACTCACCGAAAGGAATGAGGGTGCTTTTTAAAGACTCTTATGAATGGTCTTTGTGATAGAAAAAACTCTCCTCAAACTGTGCTTTCCTCTAAACTCCACAACAATCAACACAGAAGACTTCAGTGACCAAATGTGGGGTTTGTCCCCACACACCAAGCAGCAGATTTCAGCTAGGTGTCCTCTAATTCAATTCCAACATTATCTACCCCAAGATAGCATCAGGTCCCACAGGTTGAGGGCTCAGTCACCAAAACTGACCCCTCTTTCCTGTCAGTTGCCAAATCCAGGCCTTCAGAACTTCCAACTGACTAGCTTCAAAAACAGGGTTCCCACGATCCCATCTGTGTTCAATTAATTTACTAGAGCGGCTCACAGAACTCAGGGAAATATTTATTTATGTTTACTGATTTATCGCAAAGGATATTACAAAAAGATACACATGAAGAAACGCATAGGTTGGGGTCTGGGGGAAGGGGCGCAGAGCATGCCACCCTCCAGGAACCTCCACATGTTCAGCTATCTGGAAGCTCTCTGAACCCAGTCCTCTAGGGGTTTTACGGACAATTGTGTGGAAATGTGATTAGCCTGCAGGGTAGGGGGTGGGACCCTCTCGGGAATGAGGGTCTTATGACCCACAACCAGAAAGGCAGGGGAAGCCAGAGAGACTCTGTTTCCTGAGGCCTAGAGAGCCCCAAGATTAAACAAGGACTATGGGAGTTATGAGCCACGGACAGAAACACCACAGTCTCTAAGACATTTTAAGGTAAAGTAAGATCAGAAAAACTGTGCATAGTATATTACCAATTATGTAAGGGAGGGGACTATATGTTTTCTTTATAATGCATCAAGTATGTCTGAAGGGATAAACAGGAAACTGGGAAGACCCTTTGCCTCTGGAGTAGGGAGTAGGTGGTTGAGGCTTATAATAAAAAAATATTAAGTCCTCTTTGAGGTAACAAATTTTAGTATATAACCTGAAAAAAAGAATTTTAAAGCAACACTTGCCTTTTTTCCTTTTGAGGTTTCAGAATCCTCATCTTCATCTACACTAAGTAGATTTGCTCCACTACATAGAAAATAAAAGGAAAAAACCTTAGTAATAATCACAATCCATACATTAAATTCAGATGTTTTATCATCTATGCTCACCTAATTCAGGGAATCAGCAAACTTTTTCTGTAAAAGGCCAGAAAGTAAATATTTTAGGTTTGCAGGCCATATGGTTTCCATAGCAACTGCTCATCTTTGCCATTGTAGTATGAAAACAGCCATAAACTATAAATGTGGCTATGTTCCAATAAAAATTACTAATAAAAGTCAGGTAGTAGGAAAGATCAAGCCCATGGGACATAGTCTGCTGACCCCTACCACAAATGAACACATACTTTTGTTTTTTTAAACAATGAATTGTATTTATTCTCGCTCATTTTTCATTTCTGCCTTGGTTTGACAATAACAGAAGATAGAGAAACAAAGTAAAGGAGAAGAAACAAACTGGTAAGGGAAGAAAACCTTAGCTAACGAGAAGGAAGTAATTCCAATGGTACTACCATAGTAAATTAGTTATATTTCCCACATTGTTTTTTTTTTTTTTGAGACAGACTCTCACTCTGTTGCCTGGGCCAGAGTGCCTTGGCATCAGCCTAGCTCACAGCAACCTCAAACTCCTGGGCTCAAGCAATCCTACTGCCTTGGCCTCCTGAGTAGCTGGGACTACAAGCATGCGCCACCATGCCTGGCTAATTTTTTCTATATATTTTTAGTTGTCCAGCTAATTTCTTTCTAATTTTTTTTTAGTAGAGACGGTGTCTCACTCTTGCTCAGGCTGGTCTAGAACTCCTGAGCTCAAATGATCCACACGCCTTGGCCTCCCAGAGTGCTAGGACTACAGGCGTGAGCCACCGTGCCTGGCCTACTTCCATCACTCTTATAAATAGCAACCCTTCACTGAGAATCATTGCACTGAGATTCTACAAGATGAGACTAATATATCTATAAATAGTTCATGTTAATCTCAACATATTCAAAAAGCTGAAGCCCCTTAGGACCCATGATGAACCAAAGAGTACATTTCATAAATGAGATATATAGGATAGCTAGCACCTTCAAAGACAATTTTTTAATAATATAACTATGGCAAATCTGCCAACAAAGAAAGTAAAATACACCCTTTTGAAGACAAGTCTACTAAGGTATTTATACTAAAATTTATACTATTTATAACAAAAACGTTTTGTTTCATTACTGTTTACATACATCCCAACTTTTTAATGCTAAAAATTCTCCCATGTAAATACTGTACAAAAATGTTCAAAAAGTGGTATACTTTCTATTTAGTTTAATTCCAGATTTAATTTTAATTTTTTAAAACTATATAAATACTGAATGTAATAAAAAATTATTTTATATTAAAAAATAATCAGAAAAAAGCAAAATGAAATGAAAGAAAGAAGATCATAAAATATTGACTTAAAATGAGAAACTTACCAGTTCAAAGCTCTCCTTCAAATAAAATTTCACTTCAGGTCAACATCTCATAGGTGAAGGCACATAAAGTAATGATGAATGGAGCTGTTGCCCAGACAGAAGTGAAGCACCTACAATATTTAGCCAATATGCTCTGAATGACTTCTTGTATAAAAATTTCTAAAACCTATAGTTTTGTTAGAACTTTGTGTATATATTATTTGTATGTCTATAAATTTGTTGTTTCTTTTGGCCAGCAGAAAACCGGATAAATAAATCAAAAATTAAAAACAATGTTGAATTTGTAATACAAATCTCATGACATGCAAAAAGTTCTATTAAAACTATTATTTAAAATTTTTACACAGCAGTCATTCCAAGTACGTTAACAAAGTGTAATGAACACTTTGCTTAACTTCTGTCTGGGTAAACACCTGTGTTTATCATTTATAGTGGTTCTGCTTTCTCTGGTGAGAATCTGACCTAAGATGAATGTGGTGGGGGAGGGGGTGGTCACAACTGGGGAAGAAAGACACTGTAGTACTTAAACTTTCATACAAAATCCAAGAGTCTTATCTGGCTTCACTTACTCATGATAAATGGTAGCTTTTCAAATTACTGTCTAAACAGATTTCCTTTTTGAAAAACAACAATAACAAAGAAAAGCAATTTCCTTAATTTAAAATCTTCTGTTGCATGGTCAATTTTTAATCACAAGGTTATACGTGTATTATATGAATATATTTACACATTTCAAAAGATGAAGAAATTCAACAGCAAAACTATTTATCAATAAAAAATTGTGTTTTCTTTTCCTTAAGGCTACTATAAAAGAGTTAATGTTTTCTCAAGTAAAGAATACCACACTCTTAATTCTTTCCGTGGAATATAAATTGTTTTTCTATGAAAAGTTTCATTCTTATAAAATATCTAAGGGGAAAAAAAATCCTTACTCTTTATCTGTATCTCCTTCACTTTCTTCTTCATGATCAAAGCTCCAATTATTTTTAAAACCTCCATCTCTCTTAGATTCTGATCTAGCCAAAGCTGAAATAAAAACAAACTGAGATAAGTATTCATTAATATAGCTATGCAATATAAAACAAATTTGAGCATTTACCAAGCTCTTTGATTATTCTAGATTTTCTTTTAATTTGCTTGCCTTTTGTCTATTTCTTATTAAATATTAATATCCTATTAATAAAGAGAAAAAGAACACATTAAAATCTATTTTTACTAATTTATAGGCATCTATATATGTGTGCTTGCTACACAAAGAAGCTCAAATTAGTAAGACATAATAATAAAATGGAGGGTACATGACTATATATGATCATATAAAATCAACCCTAAATCTCAACCTTTGATCAGGGATTCTAGAAATCAGGACCTATAAATAGTCTGCTTGCCTTATTAATAAGAGCTATATCTAGTCCACAAGACTTTTCCTTAAACTCAATCATCCCTGCCTTTTAATAGAAGAAAAATAAGACAAGGTTTTCTGTGTTAGCAAGATGGTTAACTTGATGACCAGAAAAACTCTAGATCAGAACACCAAATATGCTCATTACGAGTTAAAAAAATTTTTATAAGTACACAGCTGAAACACCCTGAAACCATAAACAACTATTACTACACAGTGGGAACCAGAGAGACAAATGAAGTTCCAAAGCTGGCATTTCTCTTGGTGCCATTGAATAAAAACCTGATGTCTCAGAGCCTGGGGTTTAAGATTAAATTCAGGGCCTCAGCAAGAGAGGTCAGACTAGCAAACCAGAAGACCTCAAGGGCAACAGTCTGATTGGGAGAACTAAGAAAAATAAAAGAAACTCACTGAAGAAAGAGTGGGGATAACTGTGGTATCTTACCCTTGGCTCTGGCTTTTTGAGTTGAACTAAAGGCAAAGCATATTCACCCTGCCATCAGAGCTACTGTCTGAAAGTGTCCTCCCAATTTATGTTGAAATTTCAACCCCTCTTGATGGTATTAAGAGGTGGGGTCTTTGCGAGGCGATTAGATCCTGAGGACAGAGCCTTCATGAATGGCATTAGTATACCATTATAAAACAGGCCCAAGGGAGCTTGTTTGCCCCTTCCATTACATCAAGACACAGCCAGAAGGCACTATCAGTGAGAAAGTGGGCCCATACCAGACCTGAGTCAGGACACGTTGACCTGACTTCCCAGACTCCAGAACTGTGAGAAATAAATTTCTGCTTTTTAAATGCTACCCATCTATGGTATTTTGTTATAGCAGCCCAAACAGACTAAGACAGTCAGGAAATTCCTAATCATAAGCCAACAATTAACTAAGGTTTGTGGCTAGAACTCTCACACCTTATGTGGCCCAGAAAAGTCCATGATTAAAATAGCCTCACAAGAAAAGATGCTCAACTAGGAAATGTAAATCAAAACCCTAATGAGATACTACTGGTTCACCCATTAGGACAGCTATTATTATTTTTTAAATGGAAGTAACAAGTATTGGTTAGGATGTGGATGTGGGAGAAACTGCAACTCTTGTGCTTGCTGGTGGGAAAGTAAAATAGTGCAGCCACTGTGGAAAAGAATGTGGTAGTTCCTCAAAAAGTTAAACACAGATTTACCATATGATCTAGCAGTTCTACTAAGTATATACCCAAAATAATTGAAAGCATGAACTCAAACAGACACTTGTAAACCAATATTCACAGCAGCATTATTCATGATAAGCCAAAAGGTAGAAACAACCCAAATGTCTATCAACAGATGAATGGATAAACAAAATAAGTAATGTGGTATGTCTGCATACACACAAGTACACCACACACACACAATAGAATAATATTCAGTCATAAAGGAATGAAACTTGGATACAGGCTACAACATGGATGAACCTTGAAAACATTACACTCGGTGAAATAAGCCACATACAAAAGGACAATACTGTATGACTGCACTTATATGAGGTACCTATATGAGAATAGGCAAATAGTGCAAGCAGTGGCTAACACCTGTAATCCCAGCACTTTGTGAGGCTGAGGCAGGAGGATCACTTGAGCCCAGGAGTTAGAGACCAGCCTGAGCAACAAACCAACAAAGACCCTGTCTCTACAAAAATAAATTAGCTGGGTGCTTGGGGTTGAGGCAGGAGGATGGTTTGAGCCCAGGAGTTTGAAGTTGCAGTGAGCTATGATCATTCTACTATACTCTAGCCCAGACAATAGACCTGTCTCAAAAAAAAAAAGAAAGAAAAGTCAAATTCATAGAGACAGAAGTAGAAAACAGGTTACGAGGGGCTGCAGGATGGTAGGGTGCACTTGGGAGGGGATATGGAGAATTACTGTTTAACAGATACAGACTTTTTGTTTGAGATGATGAAAAAGTTCCAAAAACAGATAGTGGTGGCGGTTGTACAACATTGTGAACATACTTAATGCCAATGAATTATACAAATGTACATCTAAAATGGTTAAAATCGTAAATTTTATCACAATAAAAAATGTTTTTAAAAGGAAAAAAGCTTCAAAATGACGAACAGAAGCAAACATAAATACTCTCCAAAATATATAAAACTTCAATGTAAGCCTTTAAAAAAAGTTTCAAAAAATATCAGAAAACAGGAGGAAACAAGTCATCAATAGCAAATTTGAAACTTCTTTACATGTATACTGAGGTTGAAAATATAAGTAAATGAATAGTAGATGATGAGAACAAAGTTTCTTCCTGTCAGAGAAAGAAGTTATAAGTAAGCAAGAGGGAAAAGCTAGAAGGAACACTGTGATGCTGGATTACAGTTAGAACTCAGTCACTGAACTCATGTTTATTTAACACATATATAGGTGGACATATATGTGTGTGTGTGTGTGTGTGTGTGTTGCAACATGGGTTAATATATAGAGCTACAGCTCTGTTCTCTGACAAGGTCTAGTAGCAACAAACATACCTACTAACAGATCTTGGTTTCTAAATACCATTCTCTCCAGTAAAAGGAGCCAGGGCTCCTAAGAGAAATGACTGATTCCAGGGGAGAGACAGGAAAAATACAAGATGAACAATACAAGATGACATGGAGTACTGCGTAGTGTCAGAATCCAAGAAAGTGCTTTTTTGAAAAACAAAAGAGGAAGCATGCCAAAAAGTTACAGAAATCAACCTGAAAGAATTCCCAATAGTTAAAGTTGGAACAATTTTAGCAAAAATAAATAATAGCATTGGGTTATAACCCCTAAATAAAATAAATATTCCTGAATCCATACTGACAAAAACATACTGACAAAAAATGATATAATAAATAAATGAATGGGGAGAAAGAGCACCATCTTCCTTACAGAATTCCAAATAATATATGAACAGACTCCCTTCTCCAAAAGACAAAACTGAATTCTCCTTACCTTGAGTATGGGGCCTAGACTTGGTAACCTACTTCAAAAGAATACACCATAAAAGGGGGAAAGAATAAACTGATGGTGGAGAAACCTGAGAAACACCATCTCAGACAAGTGACCAAAAGTAACATCAACAGAGATATATCAGAGGCCAGGTGCAGTGGCTCACGCCTATAATCCTAACACTCTGGGAAGCCTCGGCGGGAGGATAGTTCAAGGTCAGAAGTTCGAAACCAGCCTGAGCAAGAGTAAGACCCCCGTCTCTATTAAAAATAGAAAGAAAATAATTGGCCAACTAAAAATATATAGAAAAATTAGCCAGGCATGGTGGCACATGCCTGTAGTCCCAGCTACTTGGGAGGATGAGGCAGAAGGATTGCTTGAGCCCAGGAGTTTGAGGTTGCTGTAAGCTACCTCGGCACTCTAGCCCAGGCAACAGAGTGAGACTCTGTCTCAAAAAAAAAAAAACAAAAACAAAAACCAGTGATATATCCTATTTGTGGAATGTACACTTTATGGTGTGATGAAAATGGTACTTCAGCTCTGCAATCTTCCCCAAAATTCATAATGCCAGGTGAATCACAAAAACATCAGACAAATCCAAATTGAGGAACACTGTACAATATACCTGACCAATACTCTTTAAAACTCTCAAGGAAAGATCGAGAAACTGTCAAAGAACACAGTAGACGACTAAGGAGACATGACAACCAAATCCAAATTCCTGGATTGGATTCTGGAACACAGAAAGGGCATTAATGGAATCATTGGTGAAATTCAAATAAAGTCTGTAGTTTAGGTAATAGTATATAGCAATGTTGAATTTCCCAGTTTTGACAAATGTATAATGGCTATATTAGGTGGCAACATTAGTGAAAGCTGGGGGAAAGTCACACAGAAACACTCTACTCCATCTTTGAAACTTCTCTGTATCTAAAAGTATTCCAAAATAAGTTTAAAACATTGAATGTAAAATGAACCTATGTGTCAAAAGTCAAAAGAAATGTTACAATGCTACAATGTTTGCACACACAATTCTAACAAACCTCATCATACAATTTCCTAACTGGTAGATTAGAACCTATTAATACAAATAAGTGAAAGAATAATCTCATGGAAGAGATAAATGCCATTAAGAGGAAATCAATTATAAAAAGCAAAGAAATTTTAAAAACCTAAGTTATGGGCAGATAATAGTAGATGAGAGATGTAACAAAAGTGATGAAAGATGAAAATTTGATAGATAGGTAGGAACTAATTTAGTTAACTAATTGATAAATCTTCCCACAAAGACTCAGAAGTCTTTGCCAGTAGTTTCTTCTAACTTTTAAGAAATAGCATCAATCTTACCTAACCTTTTCCAGAAAATAAAAAAGGAACACTTTGCAGCTCATTTTATGAAGTCAGACTAGTTGATCCCAAAATTGACAACATTCAAGGCAGAAAAATTATCAAGCAATGTCACATGAAAACAGATATAAAAGCCTAAATAAAATATGGGCAAACCAAATCCAGTAATACATAAAGAATAAAACATTACAATTAAGTAGGGTTTATCCTAAAAAGCAAGAGTTAACATTTGAAATCATGTATGTGGCTGGGCTGGGTGGCTCATGACTCTAATCCTAGCACTTTGGGAGGCCAAGGTGGGAGGATTGCTTGAGGCCAGGAGTTTGAGACC